CAAATATAGTCCATTTAGATTTAAATTTTAGCACAGGATTTAGCGATAAAACACTAAATCGAGTAGCAGAGACATACTCCAATCTGAAGTATCTCAATTTGCAAAAGAGTAGGTACGAATACTCTAATGGTGGGAAAGTGACTGATAAAGGTCTATGTACAATTGCACGGTCATGTCATAAACTAGAATATCTAAATATTTCTTGTCACATAGAGATTATTGGGATATCGATTTGTGATATTATCCATTCTTACCCAAGGCTTCAACATCTTGAATTTAGCTATTGCAAATTTACTAATGAGATTATCAAAGAAATTGCTAGTTCATGTTTTAATTTAAAGTATCTCAAATTGGAAGGGTGTGATGTTAGCAAAGAAGCACTCGTTTCACTTAATCCAAATTTTCATGTTGAGAATTTCGTGTGTACTATAACACCACCCTCTCTTTGTGAATATCCCGGGATGTATGTACTGTCAAGGAGACTGAGAATGTCAGTTGATGCACCAAGAGATATTAAGTCCATACATGATTATGTTAACGATGAACTAATGAGGAATGGACATTGTTAAAACAAGCGTTAGGATTTCGCAAACAATTTGATCTGGAGGGATTTTTCTGATCACACCCGTTGCATTCATATTTCTTGGACCGGATTGGTCTGATTATTATCCTGACTTAGTATTAGGAATGCCATGGTTTCAAGAAAATGGTGCAACTTTAGATATATGCAATTCAAAACTATTATTAGAACGATAATTTTGCGATCCCATTCAAAGAAATAAAATGAGAATAACAATCTGGAGCAGGCCGAAGATGTTTTGCATAATAGTGTAATTTTATTTTTTGTTTAAAGATACAGCATATATTTTTTATAGCGCAATCAAACATCTTTTATTTACCAGAACTATTAGAATATATTTTACATTTTTTAGCGATAGATAAATCCCTCTATTACACTTTATATGTTTCCTGATTGTGGTACAGATGCAGTGCTCCTATTCTATGGAGACGCATTGAGCTAAAAGGAAATGAAGTAGAGGATAAATCTCGACTGGAAAAATTTATGAAATTAGTACATGGTGTGGTATACCACTCATAGGGAGGGCGAAAACCAATCTATAGCTCAAAATTAACTCATCTTAAAATATCACACTACCGACTTTCAAATAAAAAAATCAAAGGCATTGTGCAGATATTCCCAAATGTAATTCATTTAGACTTTGAAGGAAGTATGGACTGTACAGGTAAAATTCTAAAGCTAATAGCGAAATCATATTTAAATTTGGAGTATCTTAATATATCTGCTATACGTGGAAGCTTTAATTCAGAAAATAATAAAGGCCTATGTGCAATCGCGAATTTATGTTATAAAATAGAATGTCTGAACATTTCTAGACGTACAGAGTTTTCTGAAACATCAATTTGTAGTGTTATTCGTTCTTGCCCAAGGCTCCAGCATCTTAACCTCAGCTTTTGTAAAATTACCGATATAATTATCAAAGAAATTGCTGATTCGTGTCTTAACATAAAGTATCTCAATTTGAAAGGGTGTAATAATATTAGCAAAGAAGCTGTAGATCAGCTCGTTTCACTTAATCCGAATATTCATGTTGATAATTTTGTGGAAATTATAACACCTCCTGATCTCATTGGGATGGTTAGAAATTATCTTACACAGAACAATGTTGCTATTAGACAGATTTTAGCTTAGAGCCTTCAGAGCCTTTTAGACCTAAGTATGCGAGATAATTTGCAGTGGTATTCTGATCCAGGGTTGGCTAGATCAACAGTCTGGAGTAATGATACAGTGATTATATTTGAAGATCTATGTGCTGATCATTAGTTCAGAAGACTTAGCACAGATTTCTGCGCAATGATGTAATAGCCGATCACCAGACAGGGCCTGTGCGACATATTAATTTTCGCATATATATCGAAAAAACATATTAACCTTTATTCTTTATTTTTTCCCGAACAATCATGAGAAAAATGTGAAAGGAGGTCTACATGCAACACAGGACCAACTCTAAAAGTAAATAGTACTGACAAAAGCATATGTTATAAAAGGCTAGTGGAGTCGCAATTCCGAGATCAGCAGGCGTAAAGCCAACTATGTCTCTCCGGTAGATCTCCATGTAAAAAGGTAAGAGGATTCCGTTTACATGTGCTTTTATAGAGCTCTTGGCATCATACGTCAATGCTTATTATTCTTCTTATCTCCTTAACTTTTCCCAGCAATATATAAAGCAGTTAGGGGTATGTGGAAGTTCAGCCAACTTTCCGCAAAAAACTTTCCCAGAGAAAATAACGCAAAATAAGGTATGTATATGCCAGAAGTTATGTATGTATGGGGATGAGTTTTCTCACTATGGGTCTTATATTTAAGAAAACAAAATGGACGAAATCACTCTCAATTGTCTTATCGTTCCTATAGGAAAACTTATGAATATATAGGCTTAAAGTTTGGAGATCACCCAAATACGAAGCCTATTCAAAGAAGGGGAAATCAGTTAATGAAGGGTCATATGTTTGTGAAGTACTTGCGCCTCTAATAAACATAGTGATGAGCGATTTACCTAGGAATCCAGTTGTTTGGGATATATGGTAAGTTAAAAAAGATTTTTAGTAATATGTATTTACAATATAATGATTATATTTTTTTCTAATAGGGTGAGAGAGGAAGCTCGGCTAGTGCTATACGAAAAGATTCTCGTAAATTTGCACGAAAGCTTGACTACATGACTATAGTACAACTAGGAAATAGCATAGAGCTTGAAATTGTATATCTAGAAACTGGTAAACCAAATTCCTCCCAAGACAAACAACAATGAGATCACAAAAAGTTGGTACAATTTTCCAAAGATTCCATTGATACTACAAGAAATGTATCTAAGCTTAAAAGAATATTCAATCAATCATCCAAGAGACAGAATTTGAGTGTATTTACCATTAACATCGCTGGTATGTATTATAATTTATTTCGCGTTTTGCTAACGAATGATAATTAACCTTATTTAACCATATTTACTTCACATAAAATTGCAGGCGATGTTATAGAACTCTATGCTATGCGGAAAGAATCGGGTATCTATAAGTACTGTTTAATAGAGAAAGCGACAATTCCATTGCATATGACTTCCCCAAGTGCCGTATACCCGCTTATACATGCGTTGATGACTCTGAGAATGGCCGTCGCATGTACAATTCACAAAATATTATATAGTTCTGACTCCGGGAATAGTGAGCATAGTTCTAGTGAAATGGTAGTAACGGTTTTGACCCCCAAAAATTCATAGAATAGAATTCAATTTCATGCATGTAATTTTATGTAATTTTATTTTTATGTGATATCTGATATGACACGCTATTATTAATAAAAAATTTTTCTTGGCAAACTTCCGTGAAATAAAATTCACAGAAATCATGTGATTTTTTTAATCTGTTTTATTGATTGGAGGTCATTCTTAGGCTGTGCCATCATTCATGCGGATAAAATTAAGTTGTAAGCATAGATCTGGAATTCATATTAGGCTTTACAATTATATTTAAAATACAAGCATAATTACGTCTCTTATTATTCTGTTGGTTTGTGTATAATAAAGTAAAAAGCGACTACACAATGCTTTCTATTATCTAAAAACATAGCTGAATATTCAAGCAACTACTTAATGACGAGCTTTCATCCTTATTGGTGATGTCCAGGTATTGTCATCATTCAAATAATAGTCGGCCTCTTTCGTTAACAATGTTTGGTATCTTTTATGTAGATTTTGAATGAAAGGCTACAAATAGAGGTCAACTGTTAGAAGAATATACCAACACTTCATAAATATAATAGAAAGATAATTACCCGCAATGACAGCATTTTGGCGGCAACCTTTGTCATTTTCAGAAATGTCGTTATCTCTTCTGCTATCTCGAAGTCTATAATTGAAAAAACTACCGGTCGCATGTTTGCTAACCAGATTGCTAAATATACTTCAACGCTTACTCCTATGACATTAACAAAATAAAATCCGCATTAAATAAATGGAATTATAATTAGCAAATTGCTACGATTACTATAATTAATAAAACTAAACTAACTTACCGCTGAATTGCACGCAAAGAATGGGCATGGATGAAATCTCGTGTAGTAATTTTTCCAGTAACGTTAATACCATATGCTTAAATATAAGGATAATAGCATTGTGTAGCTTCGATAAATCTTTATCTGACTTTGAAAGTACAGAAGTTGTTGCCGTCTCTACGTATATAAACTCAAACTGTCTGCTAAAAGATAAAATCCGTCATACTTTTTCTTTTTTCTTGATTTTTTATCAAGAAGCTTTTGCACATAACTTTCTACTTCACCTCTATTAAGCAAAACAATGGACATATTTATCAGTTAAGGGTATAATATAACATTAGCATAAACACAAATTCTTGACAAATACCATCGGAGAATACATTCATCTATCGATTCGAGGCAATCATCGAATATTGGTGCTACGATGTGGCTGTTATACCAGCCTTCCGGTAGGTCTCTGTTATCGAAGTTTATTGTTGATTTATCTTGAAATAACAAAAAGTTATGCACAAAATCATTATTAGAAAGGTTGCTTTTTTGATTTTCAAAACCATATACTTACAATTTTCGAAAAGACAACGCAAGTAGATAATATCACGATCCAAATTATTGTAATCAATTTTGACATCGTCAAGTGCTTTTCCAAGGTCTTCTAAAGATGACTAAAAAAGTAGACTATAATTAATATCTAATCATCTTCGTAAATTATTCTTCAATTACTTACAACATTAAATGTTTTCAAGATTCTCATAACTTCTGTGGATAAAGCTTTCTTAGGTTTATATTCTTGCATCTTTGCTTCAAAATGCGATATCACTGATTGCCCCAAAGCTTCTAAAATGATACCGTCGTTGAGATTAATTATGCCGTATTTGAGTGACGTTGTAGTTTTCAGTTTCGTCTTCTAGCATTTTTCATGCAAGCTCATAAGTACGCATTTTATATTTACATTACTTATTGTGATGTCGAACTTTCAAGGCGCCCAATCCATTTCGAAACTTGTCTCGTAAATATCAAGAGGACGTTTAAGAATATTCTGTGATAGTGGTGGTGGCATTGTGGAAGCATTACAAGGTGGTGTTGTAGGAGTATAATGAAGTGGTGGTGCTGTGGAAGCATTACCAGGTGGTGGTATTGTGGGAGCATCCAACACCGACAGTGCCTTCTAAAATTTGAAAAATCAGATAAAAAACAAATTATAAAAATTCTTGATTTAATAAACCACCACATCAGCGATTATAATTACATTCACATCCTTCTTTACTTCTCTTTCGCGACTCTCAATCACCCTCTAAAATACAAGTTCTCAAGTCAGTATACCGGTATTAAGAAGCATAGAACAAATAAATGTTGCACATTTTCAAACCCATTTTTTAATTCGATGAAAGTTTGTTTGCGCTGATATTCAGCTTGCGCAATAGCAATTTCCTCATTTGTCTGAACTTCCTTCCAGAACAAATCAACACTAGTCGAACACATCTGGCGAATGATCATATCAAAAGCTTAGTACAATTCATTCATTGAACACTAAAAGTTTTATACGCACCTTACTCTGCAGAGCCTTAGTCACTTCTTTCACCTTCCTTGACGCGTCTGACATTAGAATTGCGTTTAGAGAGTTTGAAAACCTTTGGTGGAGATCTCTTTTATTTTTTATTGACAAGATTCTTCTCTTTTTTGCAAATTCCAAGAAGGAGAGAAAACTCCAATTATTCCAGTCAGATAGGGAAGAAGAATTGTCAGAAAGGAAGTAAGAATCAAGCTTTTGCTTGAGACTGTCTGGTGGTTCATACATTCTACTATAATTATTGGAAATTACGCGTACGCGATTTTTATCTTATGTAGATGTTACAGATCACATGATAACCCAGTGATAAGCCACACTTTCATGAAAAACAGCTGTGCGCGTCCTTCTCTCTTTCTAGCCCGGCCGTACCAGTTCTTCACGCAAACACTGTGGACTAACTGTTATTCACTGGTTGACGAGTCATCCCGGGATGGCATCGAAAGAGTGAACGCGAAGGAGCTCTTTCTAGCCCGACCGTACCAGTTGTCCACACGGACTTCTGTTATTCGTTGGTTGATGAGTCATCCCGGGATGGCGTCGAAAGAGTCAGTACAATCCACGAATAAAGAAAATATTTAGTTTATATGAGTTAGTTAGTTAACGGAAGATAGCCCCCTGTAGGCGTTGCTCAGAATATCAAACAGACGAATGAGAAGAAGAGAAAGAGAAATCGAAGCGAGAGGGATAGAGATGATTTAGATTACCTCTATGGTATCGTCGCTACAGGAACTTTCCCGAAAATGCTTTGGATAAAGAATCCTTAGGATCTTAAACGTTGCGCAATGGCGTGAAAAAGGTTTTGAGTGTAGTAGTAGGTTTATTAAAGGATAGGGCATGTGCGGAAGACGATTCCCCTCAAAGAAAAAGCTAAATTAGAGGAATACCGTTCGAGAAAATAAGCATGTATAATAGAAACGGATTCCCTAGGGAATAAACGTCATGTATCACGGGCAAGTCCCGAACATTGTATTTATTTTTGCATGTATTAATAAATTTTTTTTCTTGGCAAATTTCGCTTACGGGCCGTGAGGAAAAATCACATGATATTTTTTATTTTGAATGCTTATATACAGTGTATTAGTTATATAGATCATGTCATCCGAGCTTGAAGTATTGAAACAGCGTATCACTGAACTTGAAGCTAAGAACGTCAAGCTTGAGGCTGAGAATGTAGAGCTTAGGAAGGAGAATACTGAAATCTCCTACCTTAGAAACAAGCTCTCAGTGTCTGATGCTGAAATAGCTGAACTTAAGCGCAGGAATATCGAGTTTCTAAGAGCGAATGAGGAATATAACGAGAGGCGTGATGCTGACAATGCCAAACTCAGGGCCGAGAATGTTGAGTTTAGAGATAGACTCACGAAAGTGGAACAGAAGCAGACACTAAATGAGCCGAGAGGCGCTTTGCATAATTCTTCTAACATCCGTTCATCTAACTTTGTTGCAGATCAGGCGCCAACGGTAATACATCACGAGAAACCATTAGTGGATACTTTATTACCTGAAGAGGTCCCAGAAGGACCAGACAAGGAAACGGACGCTTTCTTGGATGGGGAGTATAAGAAAAAGGTTAGTAATGAGATTAGGCAGAGGAACAGGGAAAAGAAATTATTGCGCGAATCGTCTACCAAGGACTTATCTGGGAATGTGTGTTTTCTTAAGAAAACCCCCACCTCTTCTGTGACTCAGGACAAAGAATCTCGATCACATAAGAAGAAAGAAGCGGAAAATATCGTGCAGGATGTATTTGATTTTACCATGGATGGGTCTGAGAAAAATCACATGACGGAAATTTCGCTGACGGGCCGTGAGGAAAATAATTGCCAAGAAAAGATAGAGTCCCGGTGCCTAGCAGAGTTATCATGTTCAGATGTATTGCAAAATATAAACTGCTTATATGAAAATGCATGTACTGCAGAAAATGAAAGGGTAAAGGCTAATCAGGCGGAAATTCTGTGCTGGAGAAATTTTATTATAGGACTGGATAATAGTATAGATGAAATTATGATCAAAGAAAAGGTGGGCATGAAAAAGGCCAAAGGACTGATTTACGATTTTATTCTTGCACATAATCCTGACACCAAACGAAAAACTTTATATCAGCGCATCAGTAGAGCTAGGAAGGTTTATGAGTTTACCGAAAAAATAGGAATTGATAAAATCAGGTATATCACAACGTATAGCGCGAATTCTATTGCAGAATTATCCGATAGCCAGATTCAAACTATTATTGATTATTTCTCCAAGAATCCCAACACTGAATTACCAGATGATCAAGAAGGCTCTATTATTGATTCCGAAGAGGAGATTTCGGATGATCAGACTAATGCATCGGAGGCGGTTTCAGCTGAGGTAAGCGAATCAACCTTACCTATTCCTGTATCTTATGACTTTAATTCTTCAGGCCCTGTTAATGCGAATTATGGCAACCCCAATCCAATCAATGATGACTCCGATTCTAGCGATTCTGAAGAAGAGATGTCGGATGATTCTGATGATGATGGATATAATGGATACGGTGGATATAATGAATATGGTGAACGTGATAGAGGTTATTACTATCGTGACGGAAGATACGAAAGGAGAGGGTCCCCATTGATGAGCCCTATTATCTCACCGGTAACCGCCTAGAGAGTCCGTAGTAATTAGTTATTTTTTCGAAATAGACGTATGAACTCATTTGTCTATGTATCACGGGCACAGTCCCGAACCTTTGTATTTATTTTTAACTTTGTTTAACTGAATGTATTTCTCGAAAACTGAATGTTAATAAAGCTTGTCTTTACATTTGCCACATAACATTGAATAATTCCTTCGTGTATAAAAATTATCGTCATTCATGTCAGTTAGCGAAGTTGACCAATCCAAGCTTGAAGTATTGAGACAGCACATTACTGAGCTTGAGGCCAAGAATGTCAAGACTAAGGCCGAGAAAGCTGATATTGAGGATATGTATATTGAACTTCTAGAAGCGATTAGGGAGGAATATACCAGGCGTGATGCTGAAAAAGCTGAGTTTAAGGCCAGAATCGAGGAGCTAGAGAAAATTAGGACAGATACTGTTTCCAAGAACGTTGAACTTGGAGCTAGAGTTGTGAAATTGGAACAAGATATAGATGAACTTAAAAAAGAATTAGAATCAAAGAAAAAACGTAAATTTCAGGAGAAATGTATTCTAATTGCTCAAGTATTGCTTGGAGAGGAACCCATAGTTGAATATCGACCATCTTTTATGGGGGGGATTAGAACTTGATGCTTTCTTCCGACATCATCGAATGGCATTAGAAGTGCAAGGGGCACAACATCGGCATCATAATACTAGCTGGTATAAAGATGTCAAAAAACTCGAGGATATTGTCAACCGTGATCGAAGAAAAAGAACCTTATGTCAGCTTAATGGAATTTATCTTCTTGAAGTATGGTATGATGAAAATCCAGAAATCACTATTCCTAAGAAGATATATAAATTTAGAGTGTATTGATCGAAAACACTTTAATCTTGATTAACCTTTACGTGGCTTATACAACGACTTAACATCATGTGGATAGTACTAGTTGTTTTCAAAAATGCGATCAGTAGTCTGCTAAATCGACCACCTGAAATTCCGAAATAGTTTTATGCATTCGCCCAGCCGTGGAACTCGCCATACCCTATTTGCAATGAAAAACATGGGAATTTGGATTACATGGCGAATGGTATAGAAATGGGACAGAATATTGTCTTAGTTGTAACTCTTCAAGCAATAAATTCAAGTTCGCAATTGTAACATAGAAGCTTTTATATCATGTACTCTCGCGCTTGTATTTATTTTTTTATCGCTTGCATGTATTAATAAAGTACCATGAATATTCTTCTCGCTTATCACCTGATATGTAAAAACTACGAAATCCCGAGACTGTGACGCGCGTCACGATCTCAAAGTTTAGCACTTTTTTTATATGAAGTATTGTAAGGCATAATCTGGTGTGACAGTCTGGCAGACATCTGTATTAAGTCGGTTGCGTAACTGATCACTGATGAGTCAGATCAACCTGTGCGACAATCGATTTCTTATATATGTATCAATCACCCAAAATCTTTCTTTTTCGAACCACTTGTGAAACTCGCAAATATCATAGATAAAAATAATGTCACTTGTTAATATTCTTAATATTGTTCGAAGTCTCGACCAAGAGCCTGATCAATTAAGTGAGGATGAGGAGGCTAATTTATTCATATATCTCACCGGCAATGATAATATATTAGTTGAGGTGGAAAACTTATGTAATCTCTGGCAAACAAATAGCGCTAAGCTTAAATACTTGAGAGGTCTATCGAAGAAGTCCGCTCCGGGTATGTTCCTATGATTTGTCTGTGTTGTTATATTCGCCAACAATACCGAATACTTACTTATTCTTATGCTTTTCTTTCCTGCTTCTTATCGTCAAACCCGCCCAAAAAACACATTCGCGTTATCGTAGAGCAACCCATTTCTGGTAAGTAAGTCGTAATAATTTTGGTCAACGCGTGTGAACGTGTCCCGGCTTGATAAACATCTTTCATTCTCTGGCATTTCCAGCTTCCGTGGAGAATCTCGCAGATGACTTTGGAAGAATGGTATGTTTATTAATGTAATGTATTTGCAATTTCGATACGTTATATTCACAGTTTGTTTTTTAGAGCGTGTCTGGTAACTCTGCCACCTTATTAACGAATGCTATAAATGCAAACTCAGAAATTATGAAAAAAAATCTGGAAGTTATGAATAAAACCTCGGAATTATTGATTCAGCTTCTTCTGACACCACGCGTATATCTGAAATTAAGGAAAAGAAAGGCCTCCATAGAGAATCAGTACGAGAGGTTAAGGATTCCCGAATTTTTTTCGATTTGTATTTAAAAATCTCCAATGCTGAGGAGCGAAATGAAAATGCGTATCACGAAGTGTTGAGGTGTTACTACTTCCTAGGAGAGGAACTAGAGAAGCGTCTTGAACACTATAAACAAACCATGGAAGAGCACGAAGCTCAGAAGAAGGTCAATGATGAGGTCAGAGACCAGCTACCAAAAGAGGTTACCAAAAATGCTCTCCGAAAGAAAACGGAAAGAGCCAGAAAGGTTTATGATCTCTTTTTTCGCATTAGTGATGATAAAAATCAATGGGTGGTATTTATCCAACGAATAAAAACGTTTACGGCGAATTCTATTTCAAGTTTAAGTTCGGATAATATCAAATATGTAGCATCTCAGGTTAGGAAGAATACTAGACAAATTTAAATCCCGAAGCGATCATGTGATGCCGGTATAGCCAGACCGTGACTGAGCAAGCATGGTCTCGAAGTTCAGCACTTTTTTTATGTGTAGTATTATAAAGCATAATTCGGTGATTAATAAAGTTTCCCCAATAGGGCTTGCATTTTTTAACTCATGCATATGTTGTGAACTGCTCATCAAATAAAATAAAACCGTATTGTAGCACAACTCCCAGGGATTATCCCCAGTAGCATCCCCAGCTCTGATTAATCGAATAATAATGGATCTTAGTTACTGCGCAAAATCTGATTGGCTGATCTGCCCCGATAATTTGCTTCACTCATGATCGGCTATATAATATTAAGAAATCATTGATATATTTATTTTTTTTTTTTTGATCATCTCGTGATTTATAGAAACTCGCCAGCTCCTGGAACTCTCCTAGAACTATCGAGGAACTGGACGCTTCGCACAGGGATTTAGGAGATACGTTATACATCATGTCACAAACCAATTTAGCGCTGGCCCTTTCCTACGTATTACTTTACAAAAATATAATGATCAATAAAATGATTAATTGAATAATGATGGTGGCTTAGCTACTGCGCAAAATCTGATTGATACCGCAATGCTGATCTGTAACTCATCCCGTGATTTGAGTTGCGAGAAGGTTGTGAGGAAGTGCCGGGAACTGACTAGGAACTAGAGAGATCACATGTGATATGATATACAGTACATTATGCCACAAACTGATTTAGCCGAAAGCGCTATGCATATGCATGTAAATATAAAATCCGAAGGGATATGACCCTATATAAATCCTTATAATCGAATAAAAAATGAATCTGATATTTATTAGAGTATACTAGTGGTAAATCAGCTATAAAACAATAAAATCGAAATAATCACTAAAAATACTATTTACATTTATAAAGATGGATTTAGATAGTAATGCTTACTATAAGCTTTGTTCGCCTGATCCTGTTCGTGATGATAGATATAATAAGATAATAAAAGCAATATACCTTTTACAACATAAATATGATAATGAAACACCAGAAATGT